ATGCTGCTATTTGGACTGCCTAGTTGATTAAGATGTTTCTATGATTGGTCATTTGTTTCTTTCTGTATTTTCTTATAGAGTATGATAATAATAATAATGATAAAGAAATTGAAATAAAAATAGCCTAGAGTACCTGACTGCTGCCTATCAAATGGGGCGATGTGTATCACATGACATTGGGACGTGTGTATGTAGTGCCACAGCATTATTATTTAATTTATTTTGTTTTATGTTTGACTTAGTTTATGTAGCAATAAAGAAATTAACTGTGTTAAAACGTCTCTCGTTCAAACTGTCCATTTATAAAGTTGTTCAATTCCCTGAACCATTGTATCTTACAGGGAAGCATTGTATGTAGTCAATCTATACTTGCAAAACAAAAGAAAGCTTTGCAAAAAAAATAAAAATTAGCAAAAAAAAAATAAAAAGAATGCAATTCTCATAAATATCACAAATCAAAAATAAATGTTTGAGAAATAAAAATTAATTTGCCAACAAAAATAAAGAACCACAAAGGGAAAGTTAAGTTTTGAGAAGTAAAAATAAAAAATTAGCAAAATTAAAATTTCATTCATTCATTTATTTATTTTTATCATTAATTTTTTTGTTAGCAAAACTTTCTTTTATTTTGCAAGTATATATGGTCCTAGATTGACTCCATACATTGTAGCTTAAAGGGACACCCCACAATTACAATTTACTCACTATTTACTCACCCTCAAAATGATTTAAACCTTTTTGATATCTTTCTTCTGCTGAACACAAAAGAAGATACTCTGAACCTGTAACCATCGACTTCCATTGTAGGGACATTAAATACTATAGAAGTCAGTGGTTACAGTTTTTTTCAAAAACTTTTTAAATTTTTTGATAAACAGAAGAAAGAAACTCAAATAGGTTTAGAAGAATTAAGGGTGAAAATGAAAATTTTCATTTTGGGGTGAATTATCCTTTAAAGGGGTACAAGTTTCATTCAGAAAATGTTTTAAAGTTGTTACTTTGAAATTTTGTTTATTTTATTTTTATGTATTTGTAATGTACTTGTAATTGGTGCTACACAGACTCTGAAATTTAAAAAACAAATGAAATTGTGTGCAACCTATCTACATATACAAGCTCGTTAGGGATAAAAAAAAATCAGACAGAAGGGTCGAAATAATTGTCATAATACAATTGTGAGTCTCTTGTTGTTTCTGAGCAGTTTAACTGTTCTTTAGAAAATTTGGTTTTAAAAGGTTAAAAGGTAGCTATAACTGACATTTCAAGAGTTAGCTTAGCTATATTTTCAGTAACATGACAATAGCTCAGCTACTTAATGACACAATGTAGCTTTTTTTAGCAGCTAGCTACTTTTTTCCAGCAAGTATTGAAGTAGCTTGACAACAGCTACATTTCATTTAGTGAACAGTGGTCTGAAGAAGCACCGCGTTATCTTATAAAATCACAATCCAGAGTTGTGTATTAAATCTACTGGTAAATCACTTTTTTTTAATTACTTGAAAACTGTTTTTTATGACATTGTGTGAGGCCTTCTATAAAATGTCTTACCAAAATGGACCTTTTTAAATTTGTTTCTGCAATGCTACATGCTACGTTTGTTGCAGTTTTGTACTTTGACTCTTGACAGCTGGGGAATTTGAAAACTATGTGTAATAAAACCTTAGGCTTTGACATCATAATTGTATTGCACTTTTTTTAGGTACCAAATATTTTACATTAAATTAATGTTTATTCATATCTTTGTAATATCCTTAGCGGGGGAAAAAGTACCTTCAATGTAAATAACTAGTTACTTTTAGGAAGTACAGTAACACACAGTGTAGCTGTCTACAGTACATTTTTAGAAGTTTAGCTACTTTTCCTGAAGATTAGCTTGTAGATTAAGCTACAGTTTCAGGGTAGCTTCCCCAACACTGCATTTCAACACTGACTATGATTTTAAGATGCATTTTCACATTAATTACGATTTATTATTATTTTTATTTTTTTTACAAAATAACATACTGACTTTAGGAATCAAATGAACCCTGATCATATAGTTAAAGGGATTTACACAACACAGCTCGTACACTGAAAAAAGTGTTGCATGCAGAACTGTTGCAAACAATTTGTTTGTGTTGAATTTAAACAAACAAATTAAGTTTAGTAATGTTCAATTTAGTTTGTTTGTTTAAATTCAGCCCAAATAAATTGTTTACCACCTCTTAACATAAAGAAATTAAGTAAATCCAAGGAATCATCTTTGAATAATTTTTTTCAGTGTATGCATTGTATTGAATCACAAAATATTCCCATTTTATGAGATCAGTGTTTCTAAATAGATGTTTTATTATTTATTAATTTATTATTTTTTTATTAATTACTAGCAGGGCTCTGATGTGATCTCAGTCTGTGTGCTTGGAATTTCTGGACTCAAGACAGAAAGACCTGACAAAACAAAAGTTCCTTACATTCATTTTGCCAAAAATGATGCAGCAGGTCTTAAATGTCTTGCAGGTTAGTGGTCAAAAAAACATCCAGCCAAGGTAATATCTTCTGTAAGGTCTTGTATGGTATTTTACACAAGGCTGCAGTAAATTGACACACTATTCAAACCACCCCGCTCTTTCATCGTCCTTAATGGCCCTTAATGATAGCAGAAAACTGCCCTAAAAATTTTCAGTCGCTAAAAGGTTTCGAACACATTTAGTCGAGAGCTAAAATGACTAAACAGCTTCCATAATGAGCCCCAAATTTGTGGTCTATTTAAATATGGCACCGTGGGCTGGTATAACCTTGTGGGTAGATTTTTATGGAAATTTTACCGCATTACGAGAGTGAAACAATGTCATCTATCCTTACTGCATAAATATAACACAAGTGTGAGATAATACATATTTGTGCTGTGTGAGGTCAGCAAGTGTATAAATGCACACCACTGACAACATACAAGCTGAACAGCATTGATAAGCTCATGGGTATTATTCATATGCCCTTTGCATGAACCATATGGACAATGAATATGCAGCAAAGCTACCACATAAAACAAAATAGATGGTTCACCACTGAAATAATGATGAGAGCAAATAAACCTGCACTGTAAAATAGGAGTTTTCTTCAAAAATGCTTTCAACTAAGGCAAATTTGATCCTCATAATCATTGTTTCACAATTAGATAACACGGCTTAGAATGGACAAACTACAATAATACATTTGCTTCTAGAAAAGGGTGACCAGGCATCCCATTTTTCCCAGCAAAGTCTTTCAGCTCTATTGTCTAGAGCCCTGACTAAATCTAATTGTTGGTAAACAAAGCAAGTCTCTCATATAATATATCTACTAAAAGACAGAAAATATTACTTTACAAAATGTATTCAAAATAATCAAGTGAACATTTTCATATTAGTCAATACTATTATTAAAATGAATTTAAAAACTGGATAAATATAAATTTACACACATTTACAAAAGTCAATACTGTGAATAAACTCAATGGCCACGTTTACATAAGGTCTTGATGCCCAATTTTGATTTGTTGCCTATATCTGATTTTTTTGCCTGTCCATTAACACATTCTTTTAATTGTGACCAATATCTGATTCATGTTTTACACTTGCCATACAATTTGCAATGTCTGCGAAATATGCAAAGTTCGCCCAACTTTAACTTTATTTTGAGGCGGAGGAGGAGGGAAAGGGCTGTCATTGCTGCTTGCACCTATTTATTTATATATGGTGTCCTCCACCATTCAGAGGAATTTGTGGGTACGAGAGAGATCTCAGGTCTGGTGAGAGCAAATTGTGGCTGGCTTTAATGAGGAGCAGTGGGTCCAAAATTTTAGGATACACACTTTCCTTCTACGTCATTAAACCACGGAAGTACCACATTGTTGCAAGTTTAATAGTTTACAAAACGGAATGCCTCAATAAATACGATCTGCCTGTTTACATGATAGTCATATTGTCACATATCCGATATCCAGTACATCTGATTTATGTCCACATATAAAGGAGGCATGAAACCAATCTCTAAATATTCGAATGCATGCAATTTTTGTGTGTGTGTGTGTGTCTATATGGTCATAAAACAGATACGATCTGTATCACATATGAGCAAAACATCGGAATTGGGTAATTTTAATTGTGTAAACGTGGCCAATGATGGGCAAAACCTGCAGAAATATGTGGATTTCTACACATGCAGATTCCATGTGGGCCTAGTTCAACTGTAAGTACTGTAAATTTTTTTTTACTTCAGCAAAACATCCCTGCAGTCTGTGCGTGTGTTCAAATGGCAAACAGAAACAGTAGCCAAGTCTTGAACTGCTCAGTTTAAGGGAACTATTAAAAAAAGTCTAAATATAATGGTTTTGCCCAAAAATGTCCTCAGGGAAGTTTAAGGGTTAGATTATGCGAAAAAAAAAAAAAAAAAGTATTTTTCAGATTAGTTGTTCATATAGAAACCAAATCATGTACACTCTCTAGAGTTTTGTCTTTAATTCTGAAGTTCATGGATCTTGTGTTTTTTGTCAATTTAGTTCATTTATTTGTCTCAATTTGTATGCTTTTACATGAGAATTCTGCTATGCTTCAGACTAAAAAAATAAAATAAAAATTATACCTACATTTATTTTCAGTTTTCAACTGGAATACAGAATATTTCATGACATTTGAACCCTTTTTTTAAGACTAAAGACCAAACTCACTGTCTCTAAATCATAGGTCTCAAACTCAATTCCTGGAGGGCCGCAGCTCTGCACAGTTTTGCTCCAACCTTGATCAAACACAGCTGCTCCAACTAATCAAGGTGTTCAAGTCTACTAGAGAATATTAGGCAGGTGTGAGTTGGAGGTAGTTGGAGCTAAACTGTGCAGAGCTGTGGTCCTCCAGGAATTGAGTTTGAGACCATTGTCCTAAATACTGTAAACATGATTTACCTCTGGTTAATCTAATCGGTACAGAAAAAAAATGCAAACAAAATAAAATCGTATGACAGAAAAAGAAAGACCACACACACAGTAATGATTACAAAAGTAACAGAGCACATAGATGGTTTTTACTGCTCCTTATTCTACCCTGCAATTACATTTTGACTAAGTGAAAAGACCTTCATTTGTCTTTGTCAGGGAATTAAGGAAAATCTATTTGATAGAGGCCCAACTAATAAGGCAAGGAAAAAGGTCAAATCATTTTGACTGTCTGAAGCCTGTGGCATTTTGTCCTGTTTCAGTCCAACGTGCAGTTCTAAATTATTAACACCAAAATACTGCAAGCCATGAGTGGGTGTTGAAGGAAAGAAAACACTTTTGATGAAACTGAGATGTGTCTAACAAAGGAGAAAACACTAACAATAACAACACCTTTCAAATTACATATCCTGCAGAACTGTCCTGTCATAGATGTCTGGTGCTGGTCTCCAACTGTTTAAACTCTTGACTTCAAGAATATCCTCCTCTCGCACACGACCTTTATGATTCTCTGCATATGGTGGCCTGTAAATATACATTAAACAGTACAGTAAATATGCGGTAAGTTTTATACATATTTCTTATTCGCCATGAAGCTAGTTCATGCCACCATAAACGTATTAATTTTCCTACCTTTTATATTTTGTTGGGGGTTTTAAGTGAATAAGTGACTTCAATGCGCCACAATAACTGGACCTAGAATATTACAAAAGTAAATAAGAAAGAAAGAAAATCCACTCACAATAAACATTCTTAAACATTTTGTAAGCACATCATAAGGTTAAAATGTGCAAGTGCTCTTCATTTGACCATCCCCCCCCCCCCCCCCCCCCGTGTTCTTGTTTTAAGAGTGGTTTTCAATTTTATTTCATAATAGTTTCAGTTCTATCATCATGAACATTTTCTAGAACAGCAGTGCATTTAAAACAAAAATATTAAAGCTTTTTTGCTTTTGTTTCTGCTTTTAAAGAGACCCTATTATGTGTTTTTGAAAATTTCTATTCATGCAGTGAATGGAGACATCAAGATGTGGTTTAAATCTGAAAGTGCACTTTGTTTAAAACTATTGATTCTATTTAGTCGACTTAAGAGTCAAATAAATGATTCATCCTTTGTTCAGATCTTTTTTCTGCACTCGTCGACATCAATACAATACATCTCCAAATATGAACTGTGGGATCGGATAAAACGTGAACATGCCTTTCTCTTCAGACACTAGTGGAGAGTGAGGGATCATGGGATTGATAATGATGTGAAGATATACTAGTATAGCCAACTGTGTGCTGTGTTTGTTCCTGTCATTTTTCTGATGATTGATACAATAACCTACGCTGCAGCGCAGGATGCGCCGACCATTTGCTATTAAAGGAAGGATAAGCAAAGTCAGTAACTGTTACAAACTTTGTATGGACCACTTTCTTCTTCCCCCAAATCCTGTAAGTGTTTCTCCTTCCTACACCATGTAAAGTGTGATAAAAATCGTTGCCTCATTTTCTGTGGTTTGCAAAATATGTATTTAACTGTGTGTTAATTGCGTCTTGTGATCACTCCACGCAGCTTGTCATCACGAATCTGTAATAGATCAGTGCTTGTAATGTATCTCTCATGTTAAATTTGTATGAGCTATTTCACATATTGTGTCCATAACCACGTTGAAAACATGACGCGTGCCTTCTCCTTTACCGATTTAAATGTGTTTTGTGCTTGCAATCTACTGCTGTTTGTTGCTACTGTATGTCCATCATCAGCTGTTACTCACGTGCGTGGCATGGTCAATTTTCTAAATAGTTCAACTTTTGCCACTGTGTGGATTATTACTGAATGTGTTCTGTTGTTTATACTTGGGATTAAAGTTTAGAATAGAGTAATTTACTGGTGTTTAACTGCATTGCTTTAATGCACTCCTGCATTGGGCTCTCACATATACTCTGAACTCCGGCTACTTCATAGCCGTGGTGGACGTTTCTCTAAGTCTCGTGCTGAACGCAGTCCACCAATCACAACAAACTGGGTCATCGGACCAATCAGCGCAGATTAGCCTCACGCAAAGGAGGGGTTTGGGAACAAATGAATCACTGAATGAATCATTGTCGTTGGGATAATTAGGTAAAAATAAATGCAAATTATAAGACAATGAAAGTGTTTTTGGATCTTCCATGCATATCAGCCTGTTGTTGGAGACCCCCAAAACCAAAATATGACATTTTTAATGCAAAACAGGGGCTTTTTAAACCTTTAGACCATAGACATTTCTTATGATAGAAAACCGGATGGAAAAACAAACATTAGTTTGTACAATTTAAAAAAATTGTCATAGTTAAAAAAAAATGTAAATACAGTTAACTTGCAAGGAATAGCTGTAGCAAGGAAAAACTGTTGCCTGTTCTCGGCCAAGCATAATTTTACATCAAATAAAAATAAAGCCATTTGTTGTATGATATTTGGGTCCAAACTGTATGAAATTTAGTTTAATTGACGAAAAAATGCTTTGAAATGCTGTGCTCATATTTCTTTAATAAATAGACATTTTTCTGTTCAATATTGAGAATAGACATGGCCACAGTTTTGTCTTTTTGGTCTTTCTTGTCCCGAGTCTGGAGTAAACATTTTATTCCTTACCCATAATTGGTTGTGCACCATGCTGCTGATTCACATTTATGAAAGTCAGGGCTGTACTCTGGAACTAGAAATGGTCTGACCTTTCTTGATGGGTAATTGCTGTATTTGTCTGTCACTGAAATAAACCAAAAAAACAAAAAGATAACGCTTATTAAAGGGAAAGCTCGCTCATTATTTACCCACCCTCAAGTACTTCCAAACTTTTATGAGTTTCTTCTGTTGAACACAATAAGAGATATTCTGAAGAAAGCTGAAAACCCTGTACCCATTGACTTCTATAGTATCTTTTTTCCCAACTATAGAAATGAGTGGTTACAGGTTTCCATATTTTTTTAAGTTATCTTCTTTTGTGTTCAACAAACCAGGTTATGAGAGGTGATTGTCTACTAATAATGACATTGCTATACTGTCGCCATTCAAATCCCGCATCTACTACCTGCGCAGAAATCAACAGTGCAGCTGCGTTGTAATGTATGTTGGCAGATTGAAGTAAAAATTCTTTGAGATTTGAATATTTTATCAATTGTGTGAGGTGATGAGCTTCATGCAAGATCTGGCAACAAACATGGACAAAAAGTGATTTTGATAACTATGGGCCATACAAATTACATGATTTTCCCTGGAGAAAAATGAGAGGTTGGCAGGATATGAGTGTGAAATCCAGGAGACTCATAGATCTAGAAAATGGAAGTGTTGGCAGGTATGGTAAAAGGTGAGAAAATGATAACAAAGTTATAATTTTTGGATGAAAAGAGTAGTTATTTTCTCACCCTTTCAACAACAAAAACGAAAGTAAACCAGGTTTGCAGCAAGTATGGGGTGAGTAAATAATTGTTTCGGTAAAAAGAATAGATATTTTCCCACCCTCCACATGTTCCAGTTGTCTTTATGTTTTCTTTCATCTATTCAACACAAAAAAAGACAATTTGAAGAATGTTGACCAGTAGCTATCAACTTCAATAGTATTTTTTTTTTACTATGGGTGTTAATAGCTACCATTCTTTAAAATATTTTCTTTTGTGTTAAACACAGAAAAAGAATCTTGTGAAAGTGAAGAAATTGTAAGGAAATGTATTTTTTGGGGTAAATCTTTCATTAAAGGTCTTACTGTTTCTTAGGCTACAAACGCTAATCTATTACACAGAATTACAAATGGCCTAATGTCCTGACATATGCATTTCTAAATGCAATTTATTTTTAAATAAACGGCTGGGAATATCAGAAGTGGGAGTAATCATCAGCATTGATAATGTCGCTCTTACCCTGCTTTTTCTTCCCTATGGATGATTCCAGAGAATTTTCTGAAATGCATCTTGTGCTTCTTGTATGATTAATGCCATCCATATAACATCTTTTTCCATTGTGATAGGTTTTGGGCTGTCCAAGGTTTGGATAAAAACTCCATTCAGACCCAGACACCATATTAGCCTCTAAATGGACACAAATAAAGATAATAATAATAATAATAATAATAAAAGGATCTTGGAATCTAATGATAAATACCAGAGAAGAGAGTAAAAGTAAAGTCTTCTACTGCAAAAAAAAAAAAAAAAGAAGAAAAAAAAGAAGCTTTTCTAACTTGGAGTTTTTTTTTTTTCAAGTCCAAATATCCAATATTAAACCAAGCAACATTTTCTAGACAAGTAAAAAATATTGTTTTATTTTCAAAAATAACAAGTCTAAATTAGAGTTGGACTTGTGAATTTATTTTATTTTATTTTTTTTGTAAAACAAGCAAAATAATTTGCAGTGAAGAAAGTAAAATAATCTTATTTCAAACTCATAACAAGATTATGGGATTTACTCAATTGGTAGATTGTTTAAAGAAATTAAATAAATTATAGATTTTTTTAAGATAGAGAGTAATAAAGAATGCAGAGGTAAAGTCATGTGTGAAAATGATTCATTATAGCCGCAGTAAGGTAAAAACATGAATGAAAGTTAGATGGTGTGTTGACGGAAACTGCATATGTGATGAAATGTATCATGTCTCAAATAATTGTTGAATCAGTTATGATACATTACATTTACTTCAGAAAAGTCATGGTTTATCCAAAACATATTAGTTACAGTAACAGTTAAACAATTAAATAAATAAGCTAAATGCCCATAAATGCCCAACTTTTATAAAAACAGATTTGACATATTTGTGGTCATATTAATGATCAACGTATCTAATCATAAACATGAACAGTTGAAGTAAGAATTATTAAACTTCCTGAATAATCAGCCCCTCATTTACTTTATAGAGAGAATAATTTTTCAACACATTTCTAAACATAATAATTTTGATAACTAATTTCTAATTACTGATTTTTTTTATCTTTGTCATGATGACAGTAAATAATATTTGACAAGATATTTTTTTAAAAACACTTCTATAGAGCTTAAAGTGACATTTAAAGGCTTAACTAATTAGGTTAGAGTAATTAGTTAAGTTATTGTATAATAATAATTTTGACCTTAAAATGTTTTTTTTAAATTAAAAACTGCTTTTAATTTAGCCGAAATAAAACAAATAAGACTTTCTCCAGAAGAAAAACTATTATCAGACATACTGTGAGAATTTCCTTGCTCTGTTAAACATTATTAGGGAAATATTTAAAAAAAAGAAAAATAACTTTGAAGGGGGGCTAATAATTCTGACTTCAACTGTACAGGGTTCATACACATTTTACTAATAAAATTCAATGACTTTTCAATGACTTTTGCAGTTTTACCTAACTGGCAGATTGTTTAAAGAAATTAAATAAATGAATATATATATATATATATATATATATATATATATATATATATATATATATATATATATATATATATATATATATATATATATATATATATATATATATATAAAAACACAGTTAGTTCATTTTGACTTATTAATTCTAAAAACAAAACTATATTTTTTATCTGTCTAGAAAATGTTTCTTGATTTAAGAATTTTTGGGTTTTCTGACTAGAAACAAAACTAAAGCTCTCATTAAAAGCATTTTTGCAGAGTAGGGAAGTATATGTTCTACAAGAGATCCTTTTTATTAAAACTAATAAACAGACTTTAACTACTGATTGAAGCCTGACTCACGTGGGAATGATCTCATGAGTTTTCTTTCACTTGGAAACTTTATGTCTTTGATGTGTGGAAATGGGGCATCGCTGTATCGAGGTTCAGGTATCCAGCGCATATGGGATTTCCAGTCAAGGTCACATCTAATAACCAAAGGCACTGGCATCACATTAATGTAGTGTAGAGGAAAAAAAACATTTCAATGGCACTAATTTGGACGTTATATTTAACTTATTCATTTGAAAATATAATCAGGGACAGATTACAAATGCATTAAAACTAGCTTTAATGCTGTAACCAAAATCAAAAAATCCACTCAAGTATTCAGTTTGATTAGCAATTTAAATTATACAATAATACCTGCTTTCCCTGCTTCAGAAACCAAAGGGAAATTTGAAAAGCTGTCACTTAAAAGTAATTTCAACTGTATTAATCAATTTTTAATACTAGTTATGGGAATAATAAATTGATTTATGAAATACTTACTCAGTGAGCACAGGCTCAATGTGTGTAATGTGAGGTTTGAAGTCCCGTTCTTTTCCAAAACTCCAGAATGACTCACTCTCTGTGGGTTTCCTAATTATGATAATAATAAAGGGAATAATCTGTTATAGCATGCATTTTGAATCTTGAATGTAAGCCTGCTTGAGATGAATTGTATAATATATATTTGTATACAATTTGAAGTCAAGTTAAATTATTTAGTCATTAATTTCTTTATGACACAAATGTTAAAAAGATAAGACAGATGTTGTGGTAACACTCATTTTATTTATTTGTTCATTATTATATTAGAATACATACAAAACCTATGTTGCACCTCACAACAACTATGAAAATAAAAAGGAGAATATGTAAAGAGTTAAGATGCAAAACCTCTGTGTCGTTTGACATTTCCATCAAAAATTAACATTGTTTCTCAGCCTCCTTTGTTTATGTTGAGATATTTTACTTTAAAGACAATGAAAAGGACTTATTCTTTGCCATAAAAGTGATATTACTGAACATAGGCCTACACAGGAGCCTGATAAAAATGCTAATTTTAGAGAAAGATTACAGCATGCCAATAGGGAAAAATAATTAAAGTTTAAGTAACAAAGTAAGCAAGCAAAAAATAATAATATTAAACTCTGTACACAAATTGGATACTTTTAAAGTAAAATAAAATGTGTGTGGACCTCCAAAATACAGAAGTTATAGAGACGTTTTCGAAAATAGTCTTGAAACACTAAACAAAATGTTGCTCGACTGTCTTTAACATCATTACAAAATTCACATCAATTTTGTTAAATTTGTGGTATTTTTTACTTTATTTATATAGACAAATATGTTAATGGTATCTTACCTTATGTCCATTCTGTAGGCAACAAATCCCAGATAGCAAAATACACTCGGGCCAGTTCCGGCTAGATTGTCGCCTGCCGGAGACTTACCCCTCGGCCCAACTTCGGCTGCCGGACTCGGGCCGGATGACTGTGGACTCACTGCCCGATTCCGGCCCGAATCAAGCGGGCCAGATGCGGCGGCCGTAAGCGAGCCGACGCTGCGCATCCGCGCCGGAATCGGCGCGAGGGTAATGTGCGCTGCGGCCCGGAGCTGGCGCGACTCCGTATTTATACACCTTATAAAACCTTTTGGTATTACATTGGTACTTGATATATGGTATTGCAACCATTTGAATTTATATAACAGCAAACACAGGCTATAATGTAAACACAAAGTGTAAGCACTGCGTTTAACCTTTGAATAAAGTGCAAACTGCATACATATTCTGTAACGAAAATAATCAGACAAATGACAAAATAAATAAATGTTAAACGTTTATTGATTGCAAGAAAGAAATAGTACTAAAATTTTATAAATAATTTGTAGTGCACAAGAATATCAATATAAAAACAACAATAAAACAACACAATAAAGACACACAGAAAGATTTAAACAAAAAATCTAAAAATTACACACAAACACAGATGTTTTTAAAACAACCCTGTTTTCCCAATAGACTTGAATTAAAAATTTGTAAAAAAACAGCTAAATTTTATATAAACCTAAATATAGAAACCAATTTAAGATATAGCAAGAAACATCTTAAAAATACCAATGACAATCCGTAAAATATCCAAGTCAAACTTGTGAAAAGTACTGCAGAATTCTGAAGAAACATCTTGAAACATCATTTAATAAAACATTAAAATAATAATAAACAAAAAAAAAATATATATATATATATATATATATATATATATATATATATACATATATATACATACATATATATATGTATAATTGCAGAAGTATAAAGTCAAACTTATTTTTAAATAAACTTGAACAAAATCAATTGCACAAACAGCAAGACATGAGTGAGATGATTATACATTTCATATATATACACGTCTTGTGCAATTTTATATTTATAATTTTATTTGTATTACGTTTATTAAAAATGTATCAAGATGTTTCTTCAGAATTTGGCGCACACACATACATACATACATACATACCATACATACATACATACCATACATACCATACATATACACACACACACACACACACACACACACACACACACACACACATATATATATACACATATACATATACATATATTATATATATATAAATGCAAATGAAAGAAACAAATTGTTCAAGTATCAGGGAACATCCTAATACACTTAAAATGTTGTTTAAAAAATAAAACAAAATAGTGAAGTAGACATTGGACACATTAGCTTTCTCTTCTTTCTTCCTCCATCCCTGTCAGGGGCAAGTTGTAGCTACCTTGTAATGCATTTTTCCACTTCTTTATCAGTGGCGTGGTATGGACATTTGTCCTCACTCCATCTGTGATTAAAAGATAAACAGATAATTAGTAGTGAACAAGTACTAATGTAAAAAAAAGAAAAAATTAGGAAAAAAGTAGGCTACCTACGAAGCAAAAAAAAAAAACAATAAAAAAAAACAAATAAACTTAAAACACTTTGAAATTAGCAAGAGCTTGAACTTACCAGTTTCTTCATTTGTTCAGGCTGCTCCTTTAGTTGATTTTCAAGCTTTTCCAAATCAAATTGGCCAAAGGAAGGTCAAATGTGTTTACATCTGGAATTTCATCACGTCTGTTTTGGTTTTGTGAGAATCAGGCCCAGCTGCTGCTTTATGACGTTGCATGATTTTAAAACTTCAGTCAGTCGTGCTAAAAAAGAAAAATAACAGATTAGTATAAATCAACCTGTAGCTTATTCTCATACAACCTCTGTAAATACAACAGTGGGTTAGACACTGCTGATATTCTCTAGTTGATCTTTACTTTCTAGCTGCATTAAACCTTAAATTTAGTGATGTCTTCAATTCTTACAAAGACATCACGAGATGCAATAAGTTCTGTCTTGATCTCAAACTGCACTAGAACAAAGACTGTAAATGTTCATAGGTGTACTGCAGGAGTGTCCAAACTTTTTGGGCTGAGGGCCAGATGCAAAAAAACAAACGTTGTTGCGGGCCAAATTTTAAATACATCACACAGACACGTGTGTGTGTGTGTGTGTGTGTGTGTGTGTGTGTGTGTGTGTGTGTGTGTATGTATATATATATATATATATATATATATATATATATATATATATATATATATATATATATATATATATATATATATATAAATACAGTTGAAGTTAGAATTGTTAGCCCCCCTAAATTATTAGCCACCGTTTATTTTTTTTTTCCCCAATTTCTGTTTAACGGAGAGTTAAACATTTTTTTCCACACATTTCTAAACATATTAGTTTTAGTAACTCATTTCTAATAACTGATTTATTTTATCTTTGCCATGATGACAGTAAATAATATTTGACTAGATATTTTTAAGACATTTCTATACAGCTTAAAGTGACATTTAAAGGCTTAACTAGGTTAATCAAGTTAACTAGTCAAGTTAAGGTAATTAGGCAAGTTATTTTATAACAATGGTTTGTTCTGAAGACTTAAGGGGCTAATAATTCTGACCTTAAAATGGTTCATAAAAAAATTTAAACCGCTTTTTATTCTAGCCGAAATAAAACATAAGTCTTTCTCCAAAAGAAAAAATATTATCAGACATACTGTAAAAATGTTCTTGCTCTGTAAAACATCATTTGGGAAATATTTAAAAAAGAAGAAATAAATCAATGAGGGGCTAATAATTCAGACTTCAACTGTGTGTAGACAGACAGACAGACAGACAGACAGACAGACAGACAGACAGACAGACAGACAGACAGACAGACAGATCATAACAAGAACTGCTGCTTAATTGAATGCATGTAATAGCGAAACCCGGTGGTTATTTATTGAATTACGTTCATTTTTGTATAGCGGGCCAGATTCTATTGATATTTATAAAAAGCCTCGCGGGCTGTAGTTTGGACACGCCTGGTGTACTGGAATGTACAGTATCTGTGCATCTTGATGGTGGTCTTAAGATTTCTGCCATAGTCATTGATGGTGATGGTACTTGTGGTGCTGCATTGATTTCTGAAATCTTTATACCTGCCTTTTATCCAGCCTCTTTGTTCCAAGTAATTTTTCTTCATCACGGTATAGATGTGTCTATACTGTCCCTTAATCAGATACATTTACAAAACAAAACATCACTTTAGTATAGTGCCAGGGCAAAACTCACAGGTTGTAATAGATCAATGACATAATGTTGACAGTATGTGTTTAAAATAATTGCAAACAAACCTGTTCTGTCTTTAGATGTATGACAGTCATCGTCCTCATCTGTCTACCAGTCAGAAATCACAGTTGCGTGTGGATGTTTGAGTCGAGCTTCCTCATATGCATCTATAATAAAACATCACATTGTTGTTAACCTCCCGTAAAGAAAAGTTCAAATCCTGAAATACTATCAAAGTTAATTAATGCATATAATACCTATAGTGTAAATAATCAGTACACAGAAGGTTGCACAAGATTTATTCGGAGATTCATGCAGAGTGACAGCCTTATGAATCTGAGACATAGATTTGTAAGATGGCCAAGCACATGCATTATTCTGTACCCATGAAGATTAACCTACCATTGTGAAAAATGTTTGATGATAGCCAATAACAATAAACCATTTCAGCTGTTTGTGAAGCAATTAGTAATGTAATGTCTGAAAAGCTCAATCTATGTTGAAAATGTATCAGCAGTTTACAGCTTATAATGGACTTTTAGCACACAACTATAACATGCCTATTCACGTTCAAAAGAGTGTGCCATTGACTTCTATGGTCGTGAAGTGCTGCAAAATGATCTCACTAACCTTTGTTAAACAAGAACAATAAGACTTAACCAACAAATCACTGTCAATAACATAAAAAAATCAAAATCTGCTTTAAGACGTTCAGTTTTACATTAACTGAACATTACAGCTTGAACAAAAGATATAATTGATTCACATAGGCTAAAACATATGAATTAAAGTGCATAGTAATATATTTCTCTTGGATAATTTAAAGAGAATAGTAAACAGTCGAGTTTCGATCATTTTTCGTGACTAACTGCATAAACAAGATAAACAATATTTTATTAATCCAAAACGATTAGTTTTTATTTACACATAATCACAGAATTAATACTTTTGGATAAGTATACGCCTGTACAATGATTTTTTTCAACATCCACGGTACTTTATAATGTTAAATCAGGAAAAAACACGTTTTGCCATGTTAATTAATGGATTCGTCTACAGAAACTTTCTTTAACGCAAAGTTAGCATACACACAAATTCGTTTCATGTTTCTTTAAAATAATTAAAATAGTTTTCAGTTACTACACACGTTACAATCTAACATTGTGTAAAAGGAAAAGGAACTTTCAGACGTGTTTGTAACTGTTAGCGTTAGCATACATTAGCTCCAGTCGTGTTTCTTAAAGCAAGTTACATTTCGTATCAAACTGTTTTAAAGTACTAAACGCTGTTACAACCAAACACCGTGGAAATGTTTAAGCTCTAAATTCGCTAATTATACAGTACACAAGCAGTAAAAAGGTTACCTTTCTGACCGGAATCCACGTGAGATCTTTGAAAAAACAAACTTTTTCTTCTTGTGATCTTCGTGCCATGGTGGTTGACAACCAGCTTTTTGGAGCATTACCGCCACCGTCTGGATTGGAGTTTGGATCAGGAATTTAGTAACGCATGTGTTTATTATGAAACCAACTTCTGCTTTAAAAAAAAAACAGTCAGCACAGGAGCGTGCTATCTCAAAAATAAGCAAATTTTACATAGTTTTTCTCTAGATGACATGTATAATCTATTTATAAATAATATTGTTTTGTTTGCGTCTAAACATAGCGACCATCCACACTAAATATTCTTTTTTTTTTTTTTTTTTTTTTTTTTGCTATTGTACCATGAATATTTTCTCAAATTATCATTAAACGTGGAGCTAACAGATTACTAGATAAAATAAGAACTTAATCAGTTGCCATCAGCCGAGTCCTTGCCAGAAGCGGCCAGGACTCTACAGACAGACTCGGGCCGGATATGGTTGACCGGAATCGGGCCAGTGCTTTACAGCCGCATCACAACCGCATGTGCGCGAGCGAGCTGCGGCCCGCACTCGGCCCGGATAACACTCGCCGATGCCGAGTAGGAGCCAGGGGCGCCGGAGGGCAGCCGAGCTCGGGCCGATTACTGCCTGCTATCTGGCATATAAGGCGTTGTTATAGAGTGACGGTGTTTCAAAAGAAAGTTAAAGACTGCAGATTTGACCATTGTTATAATCCGTTGCTCGGAGAACACAAACAAAACGCTACATGTTTACTGATGTTTGTATACAAAAACACTTAGGCCTATAAATAGAATTGAATTTGTATTCACTCATAGGCTAATCATTTATTGACTGATACAGGCTATGTGCATTCTTTATTCATTAGGCCAATATTTATTTGTTTGTTTTTTGTTACGAAATATAAGGTCAGATTTTGTCAGATTGCCTGACTTTGGTTTGTCGAAACGCAAGATGGCGCAATAAAACCATTTTTTTCTTTAATCAATTTTTTCCCCTTTTTTTCTTAATTCTTTTTCCTGTCTTGGCTAAATGTGTAAAAAATAAAATACGCTTTTAAGGCTGATTGTTGGCGCTACTATAGTTTTATTTATTTATTTATTTTGGAAAAAATGCTCAGAAAAAAAAAATAGACGGACATTTCTATTAAAGGCTACTGGGAACAAATCCATTTTTAAAAACAACAACAACAACAACAACAAAAACAATAATACTATATATATATATATATATATATATATATATATATATATATATATATATATATATATATATATATATATATTAATAGGCTACTAGATTACTAGAGTCTTTCTGAACTGAACTGCAGATAAAATATGCTAACTGTGAAGTCAGCATGAGGACTGATATTCAAAAATTTTATATAGGCTATCTGAGGATAATATCATAACTGTGAAATCTTATAAAAGATAACTATTTCTAAAAAATTATAGCATGCATTAGTTTATTTCTTTAATCCAAGTATTCCAGCTTCAGATGCGTTATTATGCAAAAAATAATTTGCATTGTAAATGTAGGCTAAATGCTGTTTTTAAAAAGTTATTGCAAATAACGTTATGGGACATGATTAGACCCAGTGATGAGAAAGAGAGAGAGAGAGAGAGAGAGAGAGAGAGAGAGAGAGAGAGAGAGAGAGAGAGAGAGAGAGAGAGAGCTCTTTAAATCCACCTGTTAGCCAGCATATTCTTACGCCTTCGGTTTGGGAAGGTGAACTGATCGCCAGGACCGCGTGTCAGTGATTTAACTCAAACTTCTGTATTTCTAAAGTCCTCACTGCGCACATTCTTCATCTTTAATGGACTATAAATGCCGACGACACCATACGGGACAATGTTAATGCATCGTTGGCCACAAATGCCTTGATCTCCATATGGACTTCGCCACAGCGCTGCAACTCGCGCAATATCGCCACGCCACCGGACTTTTATTTTTGTAATTATTATTCATTGGTGAATATGGCGAAGCGATCGCAGTGAACTGGAGCCAAGGTTTGCAACACATTGTTGCAAATATTAAGCAGAAGATCATGATGCTCTCCCTCTCGCGTGCCCCGTAACTGCTTCCATTCATTCAGTCCAGTTTGGCGCTAAGCATCGTCTTCTCTCCTGGAGATTTTCCTTCCAGTTTCCTCTCAATTATGTTCACTTTCGCTGCCTTTTGCTACATGCTTTCCCTTGTCCTCTGTGCTTCTCTCATCTTCTTCGCGATCTGGCATGTAAGTGTTTGCATCTTTGGCGTGCTTTGTGTAAATATATTGCTGCAGGATGGCATGCATGCATGTGTTTGCTGCATCAGACAAAACTGTCCAGCACCTGATCAAAGGCTTCCTGATATCTCTGCCATGTCTTACATCACCAAACTATGATCGTTTGCTTCTAAATGAATAGTGACTGGGCGACAGCATTGACGCAGACCCTGACTTGGTGGCACCAGCATGTGCGAGGGAAGTCTTTTGCACACCTTTCATGGGTTTTCCCACCGCTCAACCTTTCTTTAATGACTAAAGCACCTTTATGGGTTGTTTCAGATGGATTATATTCATGCATAACTGTGCTGAACCTCTTTTAAGCTACAGCAGTGTTATTTTCCAGTGCTTGACCTGTTTTGATGTTGAGCTGAGCTTTATGTCTGTGCACTTTTTGCAAGGTGTAACACTATTTTTTTCTTCCATAAGGAAAGCTGCATTAAAGCGCTCGCTCACATTCACAGCACTGCAAGACTGCTCTAGATTTGGGTCAGCACAGTCGTTTGCCCTAGGCTTGCTTTTGCATAGCAACAGACATTATAGCCCCAAGGGTTAAATAAGGGGTAATTATGAGCACATCACAGTTAACCCAAACCTTTTAGTAAGGCATCATTAAACTAATCTATTTCCAATATCTCCACTAATGTCATTTGGTTCTTCTAACAGAAGTTTTTTTTTATTTGTCAGATTTTTTGTATGGCAGGCAGGAATGCTGTCCCCAGCCGTTTCAGCTTTTGAATCTTTAATAGATTTAATTTGATCAGCACACAGTAGGAAAATCCTGCCATGTCAGTCGCCTTTCGTGTCAGAAAACTGAATGCATTTTACACTTTAGCTTCTGTTTTTGTGTTGAATGCACTTACGATATGGCAGAGATCATGAGACAGCTCTGTCATTGTAGTTTTAAGCAGTGCTAAAATAAAGCACATCAACCTGGCATTAAGAGATTTGCTTGAGGTGTTTGTTGCAGTTCAGAATATTACTTGATGAGTATCGTTCACCCAGCATCTTTAAGGCATTGTGTTTTATTCTGTAATACACACAACTTTATTTATACTGTACATAAAAAGTAGTGATGGCATCACATGAATGCAGAAAATCCCAAGAGATTATCTTGAGCTGTGGTGTGAAAAGCAGAAGACAGGGACAATATTCTATGAAAGAGCATTTCACGCTTTTAAGAGCCCTCCATAAAGGCACCAGCACAAAATCTACTGTTATATAATATTTGTGATTTATTTATTTCTAGACAAAAGTTGTGTTCAAGTACATGGCCGTTCAAAAGTTTGGGGTTATTAAGTTCATATTCTTTTTTTTTTTTTTTTTTCAAATAATCCAGCTCTATTTTTTAAATGAAATTATCTTAAAAAAACTCTTGAACCTTCAGATTTTCTTCAACATTTGTAATAATAAGAAATCTTTACTGAATATAAAACAAAATAGACTAATTTCTGAAAGTTTATGGATTGTGGACAAGTCATGACTGCTGAAATTTTTGAACAATAGTGCACATGGCTAATTTTGTATGGGCAGAAATTTGTATTTAAAGGGCACCTATTTTACCCCTTTTCAAGATTTAAGATAAACGTTTTGTGTCTCCATAATGTGTCTGTAAAGTTTCAGCTCAAAACACCCATCAGATAATGTATTATAGCTTTCAGAAGATTATAATTTTCTGCTTTGAACACAATGTTGCTGTTTTCGTTGCCTGTGCATTTAATGCTAGTTCTCCCCGCCCACAGCTCCCACATGCCTGTTAGAGTGTACTTCAATCTCTGCCTCGGCTGCGTCAGATAAACAGCACAGTGACAGACATGAAGGAAGCAGTTTTCATGTAATGTTTGTGAGAAATACTGCAGCAATAATTTACCAATGATTATTTGATGTATTTGTTGGGAAATTGCAACAATGAGTTACACAAAATGTTGCTACAAAGTTCACGCACATACTCAGCGGACACACACACACAGCTCTCGTGTCTAACTTTGCAATGTTTTTGTTCGCAAATGTGACAGGATACACGTTAAAATACACTGCTGTGTGGATATCCGTTTTGTTAATGTACAAAATAATACCAATTTCAAAAGTTCACACTTAGCTGATGATTGATAATAAAGCTTGTTTGGCATGCTGTCCCGGGAGAAAGCCCTGAGCTCATGAGATCATCGAGCCCTGGGCTCCCTCCTAGTTGCAGGGCGAGAGGGGAGTTTGAGCTTAGGTAGATCTTGATAAAGTCCCCCGGGCTTATTTCCAGCTAAATGACGGATATGGATGACTGAGGAGAGGTGTACTAGCTAAGAGCTTGGCTGTGGTATCAATTTTGTGTTTTCAACTTTCTGTAATTGTCAGTTTTTGAAATATGGGAGGAGAACCTGGGAAAAACCCACGTGAGCACCGGCAGAACGAGCAAACTCTGCACAGAAATGTCATCTGGTTTAGTAGGGACTTTAATCAGAGGCATTCTTGCTGTGAGGCAACAGTGCTAATCAAGACGAAGATAGTGAGATAAGAAAAACTGTTTATTTATAGTGAGTTAGGAATCATCTGATTGGAGAATCAGTCATGAGCTGACGCGGGGACAGCTTCAATTCAGTAATTCATTACAAACATACACTGCTTTAAAAATGTTTTAAACTTGTAAAACTCTGATCTTTTTATCCTGGTTGCTTTGCACACGTCCTGCTTGTTGACATGTTTATACTCATTACTACGGGGACATTTTAATACTGTCAGTCAATTTGGTGGATGAGGAAACTGTAACGTTGCGGTGGGCCTCAAAATGGAAGGGATTTGGATCCTATTTTAACATCAGGGATGTTAAAAAATAGACGTATTGTCTTTATATCACCCCAATATGAATGTGGACATACTATACCTGCACACATTCTGTCCAAACAGCTTCCAAAAGATAATTGTTATCATAGGTGCCCTTTAAAATATCAACGCTTTTAGAAATGAAGATTCTAAAACAGGAACTGTAAGAACATTTCATAAACAGTTTTTTAAAGATCTAGCAAACACAATTTGAATTATCTTTTCCACTTTGAAGAACCTTTTGTGCAATGGAACGTTTACATGTTTGTTAAAGGTTCTTTATGGAACCATCAATACCAACAACCTTCATTTTCAGGAGTGTACAAACAAGTTTTGTGAAACATCACTTACTAAAAGTAATTATATGCAAAAGTAATGAATGTATTCCAACACATCTGTCTTCTTTATGTCAACTCACACTACAAGCATAGCAGAATCTATCTGTAGTCCTTTTCAAAGGGATCTGAAGGGATGCCTAATCTGCATATTCCCCCATGTGTGTTATTCTACATCTGAGGGGAAATGATCCCCACATTAGCTTAACTAACACTGAGAGTCAAAAGCTCCCTCAGCAGATGTTTCGAGTAGACTTTCACAGCCAGTAGAAACTAAAACACATTAATGCCCACAGAATGCCTGGCAAGGATGTGCAGTTTAGAGCAGTATTTAACAGATTATCCATGAATGCAATGGTGCGTTCATCTGTGAAGGGTTGAACGTATCATTGAGATGTATAGTTCAGCAATCCTGCAAGCTACTTCAAAGAGCTCTTGTTAAACATTGGAGGTCAACTTGATTATTCTACAAGCTGAACTGCAGACTAATGTGCTGCACACAGTCTTGCACATGCTAACATGACTTGAATAATATTAGTACATTAAACACAAATCCATTCTGCCAGACACGAACATCTTAGCCATACTAAATTGTTGTTTACGTCTTTCAGTGTTCACAAACTATCACAGAAAATAAAAACGTGCTGGTGACGCCATTTCAAACAACAGTTTGGAAATTAAATGTCTTCATATTGTGTACATATTTCAGCTGTTCGGAAATGAAATGCCCAGTGGCATTTAAAGTTTAATGATGGTGTTTGAAAATAATCTTCCACCCACTGTACACTAAAACTAAACTTAACAATCAGTGTTAAAAAAGCAAACGTGGAATAAAATCACATTTCCTGAGGTAATTTGAGATATTAAGCCCTCCAAATGTAACTGTGGTCAGTGTAAAAGGTGTTTCATAGTATGAAATAATTTGATTTATAATTAAGTTTGCATGTATGAAGCATCATTAAACTCGATGAGCATACAACACCTAAAAGGCAGTGTAGTTATAATCCAATGATGGCTCAAATATATGCAAACATAAACATTTGGATAAGAAGTGTAATGTAAATTTTGTATTTTTAAAAAAAATAACCCAATGATGTATGATTATATTTTACCTAATATTGGATTTTGACAATCCAGCACCTTTCAGAGTGGATATACATAGACAGAGTTACATAATGATGTACAATACTGATAACTCATGGTATGTTTCTGAAATAAGTTACAATTTTGAAACATGGCTCAGCTAATAAGAATAAAGGCTTGGAACATGTACAGCGCATATACATTAGATTAGTCAGTACTGAAGCCAAATCTGGAGCTCATCTAACAAAATAACTTACAATAACAATTAACGGTTCAAAAATTAGTAGCACAAATTAATATGTTATGGAAAAATTTATATTTTTTAAATTCGAAAATAGCAAAAATCAAGAGAAAAAAAATAATACACACACACACACATATACATATATACACACACACACACACACACACACACACACACACACACACACACACACACACATCAGTAAATCACATAAATCAGTTTTGTTTAAATGCACCAAAATATATTACCCATATTCAATGAGAAATTGATAAAATTATCCATTTTCAAAATAGGGTGTACGCATATATGCTGACCACTGTATCCTTTTATACATGTTAATTTGTTTCTTCATGTCTTTGTAGTCTTGGTGTTCTTATGTACAAGAACACTCTACACTGACATTTAAGTGCTCTAGCATAGGAGCAAACAAGCTAGTTTACCATCAGAAAAACAAGACATATAGAACTGATTATGTGACGCCAAAACCAAAATGT